TAACTGGTACACAACCATTTCGAACTAATTAAAAGTATTACCAGCGATAGCCAATCAGTGAGTGGGTATCTCGTGCTGTGATGTTACTAGGACATAGTTATGCAGGATTTTCGATCCTACGCTGCATATCTCCAGTCCGTAGCCATTTCTACCGAAAGGCTGCGCGAGTGGTTGTTTATTTTCTCGAGGGCATTTTCTAGTGATACGCGACATCCAACAGTTGTTAGCAAGGCGAGCAGCATGCCCTGCCCTGATTAAAATTACTGGCGAGCATAATTTTTTCCAGAATAGAGCCCATTTGAGTTTCAATATCTCTAGTCGAAATTCGCCTCTTGCCTATTTTTCCTTTAATTAAATTAGACTCAGTGCAAGCTCTAGTGTTTCTGCGCTAAACTCATGAATTATAGTTTAATTTGGTATGCCCCATGCAAATTTAGTGTTAGGAAATTTTTGCGCTTCCTTGATCAAACTTCTTAACAATTCTTCACACTTTCATTTCCCTTACTGATGATTTTGACGCAAAACTATAAGTAATTTGAACGCTTTTTTCTTTGTGAAGATGAAACAGATGAAACAGTAAATCATCTTTTCTGGTGTAAATGAAACAGTAAATCATCTTTTCTAGAAATCTAAGTGAAATCTAAATTTTAGAATTATGAAATTTCTAGAAATCTTGCCATGTTGCGGTCGAACGTGATTGTCGATCGGCCGCATAGCATCTCCACAGACACTGGATAAGTGTCGCTGCAGCGGGAATTTGTCGATTAAAGTGCTTCTGACGTTGTTTTTGTTGCACTTTCAGTGCAAATCCGGATCCTAGGATACCCTGAAATGTGTGAAAAGCGAAACTAAGAACTGATCGTAGCGTCAGGAAAAGTTTTCGGCTAAATAAATGGAGATTCAAGCTGTAAATTAACAGCTTTCCCAGGAATTCCAAAAAAAAAACGAAATTAAACACAGATTATTTAGAAGCTGATTATGAAGAGTCATCAAGTTTAGAAATATTTCAGAAATCGATAATTACTTTGATATTTTAATCAGCTATTGTTTTATAACTTAGTTTCTCAGTTGCCATTCGATAACTTTTTCATTTTCTTTGGCCAGTACTGCATCGCCTACTGGTCAGTCTGCTGGCGATCCTGGTGTTTGTTTCATCTCTTTACCGGTAGGAGCAAGCAGCAAGGCTTTAGCCATTTCGGGGTATTCTCTACGCATGCTGAGTGTCACAGCCTTGTCTAAAACATTGTCACTTCTTAGATCAGAATGAAGTAACGCATCAAGTAAGGGTCAAAAACAGTATGGTTCATACCTTTTCGAAATAGAGCAAAAAAAAATAATGAGTGCGGACGTAAAGGAACTGAGTTATTTAAGTTACAGTAATCTGCCCTTGTTCTGGCATTTGTGGCCTAAAAAACATCGAGTTACCGATGCTCTTTTATCCACTCACATCCCCATTTCCACTTTTCGGATGACTGAAAAGTTGTTCTTAAAGATGCTTACCGCAGGTAACGCGAAAAACGAGATTGCGAATAAGGCAAAGCATGAAGCAACGATACGGCCAAGCCACGTCTGTGGTACAACATCACCGTAGCCAATTGTTGTCATCGTCATCTGAAAATTCTGGATTGGGAAC